ACACACACACACACACACACACACACACACACGAGAAGCAGAATCAATGACTGGCATGGGCAATGAACTTTTTTAACACTCAATTTCACTCCAATAAAAATAAGTTTTGTTGTCTAAAATGACTTCTGTCTTCTCTGCAGTAGGTGCTAAGCTAAAAGCCCAACAACAGCACAAACATGAACAACAACAGGCCAAATGACAGTACACAGCTACAAATATATACACATGGATCTGTAAAGCTTTTTGGAGCACCTATAGGCTACCAACCCAGTACCATGCTGATACCATAAAGAGACAAGCATGCATGTATAGCATCCTACGCTTTTAAATAAAAGTAAAAAATACAAGCTGGAGAAGCTTCAGCTCATCTTTCTTCCTCTTCTCCCTGTGTACTGCCACAACTTGTACATAAAACTACAATGTCCTCTAGTGCCTTCAGGCAGCTTTTCACTAAAACTACACAACACCGCAGTGTCCAACAGGACACTACTCAGAACAGAGTTCACCAAGAAGAGAAAAAAAAAAACAACGAGTTCTTTGTGCGACTTCGATCTTCTCTATAGCAGGGGCTAAGCTAAAGGATCAACAGCAGGACAAACACAAACAGCTTACATTTCCAGCTGTTCCACATATCTTTGACACCGTCCCCATTTGGCGGCAGACAGCTACGACGTGTAGGTGTGCGTTTACTGATCATGCTCGCCGCCTGCGCTTCATCAATCCTATGCTAAAGTTATTGCTAACCACAAATATTAGCAGCCTTATTTTCACTGTTACTACCTACACTTTGTGGTCATCTAAGTTTTTTTGGCTTAAACCTTGCTGCTTTGTAATGTCAGTGACACTTAGACTGAGCAGACTGGTGAGGTTGCAAATCCACTGCTGTACAACTTTATTTCTGTGGTAGATTTGCCCTCTGTGAATCTTTCATCTGAAGACTTACTGAAAATACATAGAAATGATCAATTTATTTGCAAATGTGTAAAAATGTGACAAACTAACAAAAAATTAAATGGTTTCACTGGTGCTGAACATGCAATTAAGCAACTTCTTAAAAAGAAAGGTTTGTCATGTTAGCATTGTTTCCAACAGCCTAAAATGATTATAAACAATAGGAATGAATCTCTGCAAGTATTTATTTTTTCTTGTTTAGTAAATTCAAGGATTTTAATCATCAAATGTAAATGCAGATTTCATAACTTTAATCCTGCAACAGCTAAACAGTATCATGACGTTTGCCAATGATCAAGAACAATGTTGTATTCATATTTGTATTTTGAATTATCTAACCATCCATCCATTTTGTTTACCCCTAATTCATTCAACTGAAACTGCACTAAACCGGACTAGTTTATATTGATAACCCAAGATTGAAAAGTGCTGTATAACATGGAAGCTGCACTGCTTTTATCACAAGTATTGTCACACTTTCCAAGACATTTTCTGTCCCCATTCAGCTGTCAGTGATGTGCAAATGAACCACAGAGCATTTGGAGGGAATGGGAAACATAAGATGACCATTAAGTATCATGAAGCCTGATAAAAGAAACAAAAATGGAGAGAAACAAGAAAAAAAATTAAATAAAAGCAGTAATCTCTCGCTACAAATGAATTGGAGTTGAATGTCAAAATAACCTGAAATAGTGAATCCAGAAAATAAATCCTGCCCTACATCAGCCTTTTCTCAACAGACAGTGCTCCCTTGGGGGCAGTAAACAGAGCATGAGGAAACAATACAGGCAAAGTGACAGTGCTGTGCCTGTCCGTCATCTGTAGGTCATCTCAACACCCTCCACTTGGGCCAAACAGAAATTAAAACCAATCCTCAACTCCCAGATGAGGTCTCGTGTCAGCAGAGGTCAAGGGCTTGGCCTCTCAAAGTGCTTTGTTTATCCCATTTGTATTGTACGGGCCACACTTCTCGAGCCAACAGGTCAGCCAGCTAGTCGGCTATTCATCCTCTCAGCCAGCCAGCCAGCAGTTCTCTCCAACTGGCCCAACAAGCTGTAGCTGTCAGAGTCACATAATTTGACGTGACATTATGCAGGCCCCCATCTCAAATAATCAGAAACACCCGACAGCAGACCGCCACTATGCCCCTCTCCCCTCCACCCACACCCACACACACACACACACACACACACTCTTTTGAGGAGCCATTTTGGTGCTATTACAGCATGATTGTCATACAACACTGGATGAGACAATTTGACGTCGGAGCGGAGTGGTGTTCTCCCTCTCATTGCGGCTCTGGGCTGGAATACAGGACTCAGTTTCAAACACATGTGTCTGTTATTTACAGATCGGCTTTCCACCACCCCGCGGTCCAAGGGCTTAGAAACGCCTGCACTGCTTTGCCAGGACTAAGTGCATGCAGATTGTGCCCACCCTTACTAGCCTCTGACAGACACACACTTTCACACTGGTGCATGCACAAATGTACACACACAAGCCTCCTCGGCATATGCGCGAGTATTCGCCG